CTATATTTAGTATCTTGTAATAATGTTTAATGAAAACATGAAAATGAATATATGTGTGAGTATGTATGACTGGGACATTATGCTGTACACCAGAAATTGACACACTGTAACTGACTACTTCAATTAAAAACCAACAAAGTGCACCTCTTCCCCATTGTTTACTGACTGCCAACGTTCATCACAGAGCTGGGATGGACAGAGAGGGGAATGGGAAACGCAGGTGCAGGCTCCCCCTGGCACGGTGGTCCAACCCTCTCCTCCAGCCTCTCCCCTTATCACCTCCTCCTCGTCCTTCAGGTCTTAACTCATGAGCCCCCCACCCTCCTGGCCATGAAGCACCACTTCCAAGAGTCCTCATGGCAAGCGTCTTCCTGGAAGCCAGCACCCAGCCTGGGACTGAGTGGTGGGAGTCCTTACCGCATCCCCTAAGAGATTCCAATTCTAAGGGCCATGGCCCCATCTTGCCCACCTGGACGCCACAGCCCAAGAGCACTTCACGTGGAGAATGAGGACCACGAGGGGAGAAGAGCACTCTCCAGAATGCCGCCCCTTCTACTTGATTCCCATTTTCACGTTGCCCGACGGGAATTCATACTTGAAACAGTTTCCCTGCCAATGTATTAAAATTAAAATTGTAACCTGCAGCACAAAACAGGAATTGCCCAGGTGATGGAGAGGTCTCTCCCAGTCTAGCCCACAGCAGGGTTCCACCTCCCGAGAAGTACGGTCCATCTAGTCGCTTAGCATTTAATTGGTTTTAACACAAAACAAAACTACATGCAAAGTCTGTCTTTCAAGCCTTCAGTGAGCTTCCCAAAGCACATGGTCTGAGGCACATTTTCCGTTTCCCTCAAGGTGACTAGGGCAGTAAGTGCTTGTCACCTTTTTGAATGTTAAAACATTGTGGAGTGGTGGTGAAAACCCACAACATGAAGTTGACCATCTGAACCATTTCTAAGCATACGGCTCAGTGGCACACCAACACTGTTGTGCACCCATCATGGCCACCGTCTCTGGAACTGGCACGTTCTTGTCTGTCACCATCTGTGGGAGGTGGACAGGAAACTGCCAGTTAGTCTCTAATGATAAAAACCCAGTTTAAATTCCTAGAACTGTACGCCTAAAAATGGCATACCTTACTGTGTGTTAACTATGCCTCAATAACACTGATTAAAAACAAAACAGGAGGGATGTGGTGGGAAACGGGGCTGGTGACCATCAGGATCCAGATTACAGAGGGCGCGAGGGAGAGATGGGATTTCATCAAAAGACACAGGAACCCTTGAAGACTTTGAAAAGAGTAGTGGAATTCATTCACTCACGCACCGCCAACAATTTGGGCACCTATGTTCCAGACACCGAGCCAGACACTGGAGCTGGTCGGGTGTATGCTTCAGAAAGCTCGCCCCAGCTGCACCGCAGACAGCTGAGTGGGCAAAGCTAGTGGTCTTTGCTTTCATCCCGGTAAAAAGCACTGAATTAAGGCAGTTATCGGAGGGGATGGAAAACAAAGGTCGAATATGTTATTAGTTTTATCTTTAATAGGGCCACCATGAAGTCTCTGACTTCATCGTTCTGTTCCTACTTTTCAGTCGCTTGCACCAATAGTTACAACAGCCTGAATGAATTCTATGCGGCGCACCATGTATGGGGCTGGATGGTTGGAGGACACCATCCTGTGAAACAGCATGTGATGGGTCCCTGTGCAGTGATGGGAGATGACGTCAAAATACACTGTAAGTAAAACACAAACTGCAGCATGTATTACAAGACACGATGACAGGGACGTAAAAACACTGAACTGTCTGTATGTGTGAACGTCTCTACAAACAGAGAGAGAAAGCTCAGAAAAGAATACACACACGTAAGGGGACTTGGGGTAGGGGTGGAGGGGCTTTCAGCTTGTGACGCATCTTGCAATGAGTGCGCCAGGCACCCCTCCACAGAGGAGTCCTGGTCCACGGGCTAGTACGCTAAGCGCACAGCCTGCATTACCCCTGGGCTCTGGTTCTGCATAGTCTTTATTGCTAATTCAAATCATATAATGAGCCTCACAGCAACTGCTCAGACTATACATATGTGTACATATCCACACATGGTATTTTTTTTAATTGGCAAATTTTAAATTTGTATTTTTTAGATTTATGTCAGAGAATGTTTTGCATATGTCTTCTTCTAGGAGGTTTATCGTGTCTTATGTTTAAGTCTTTAAGCCATTTCGAGTTTGTTTCTGTGTATGGTGTGAGGGAGTGTTGTAACTTCATCGATTTACACACAGCTGTCCAGTTTTCCCTACACCATTTGCTGAAGAGACTGTCTTTACTCCATCGTATGTTCTTGCCTCCTTTGTCGAAGATTAGTTGACCAAAGGTTTGTGGGTTTATTTCTGGGCTCTCTATTCTGTTCCATTGATCCACGTCTGTTTTTGTACCAATACCACACTGTTTTGATTACTGTAGCTCTGCAGTATTGTCTGAAGTCTGGAAGGGTTACTCCTCCAGCTTCATTCTCTTTCTTCAGTTAAATCTGTCATTTTAAATGACTGATAGTTACATATATAGCAGAGGACATTTGAGATGAGAATTCACTGCCTATTGCAAAGGGTTTCTCCTTGAGTTACAAGAAAACCATTTAAGAAAAATATGGAATACATTTAACTCATTCTCACCTAAGTAATTAACTACAACGTAACCTTTAGAACACAAAACTATTTGCGCTGCAAATGAGCAGATCAAATTACAACAATCTTGGCTCTTTCAGCTCAAAACACACCAAAACAGCACGCAAGGAGGACGATCCTTGAAGTGCACACACGGACGCCACACAGGTTACTTGGCAGTGGTAGCTGCTGTCTGAGTCAACACTCCAACTGTCTGGGCTCAGTCAAGGGTTTTTTCTTGGTTTTAAAATGAACATCGCCTGGCGATATGAAGCAGGACACTGGGCTCAGAGCAGTGGAGATACTCTATTCCTTTAGTTAGTTTTACTTTCATAAAGAATGTTTTACAAGGCTGCTTCCGAAAGACCGCTGAAGTCCTGCTGCTCAACCACAATTGAGACATTAATTTGAGGGACTTACACAGCCTCTCAAGGGCCTCATGCCAAAGAGAATTTTGCAGACAGACTGAAACTGTACGCGTCTCCGCCTCAGCCCACTTGAAGCTCTTTTTTAAAAAAGAGGAAGGGCAGATAGTAGGTGTAAATGACAAAGAAAGTTCCCAAAGGCAGCTGTGGGAAGCTTCAGGCTTGAGCTCCACGTAGGATGCCCTGATAAGGAGTCTGGACCACCTGTAATTTGCTGATTGTGAGGAAAACCAGATTACTCAGAAGCCCTCAGCTCTGGGAGCTTAAAACGCACGTGAAACTTGGGACGTGGGAACGGGGACCCCAACACCCCCGCTTTGGCCATCCTCACTAATTATCTATGACCCCAGGTGACATTAAGGAGTGACTCCTATCACACAAGCCAAAAATGCCCTAGGGGTGGGGGTGGGGGTACAAACACCTTTAGGTTTCAAAAGGGAATCGTAAAAACACGGACAGGAAGAAGACAGAAACCACAAAATCCGTGACACGTAGCATCTGACAGTTCTGACCGGCGGTGGCTGAGCCGAGCACCGCAGCACGACACCCCCCAGGTGGCCGCCTCCGTGCAGGTAAGAAACCTGCAACTTCTTGACTAGGTTTTGCTACGTCTCAGCCCTGCTTACCCCCTTGGCGTGACAGCCTTGTGCAGCGAACAATCTGCACAACTTGGGGAAATTACGTGTTAGTAATTATGTGTTAGTTACAGAGGGCACGGCATGAACCTGGATGTCCGATCCGAATATTCAATAAGAAAGGACAGACCACGTGGTGAAGGAGCGGTCCGGCACAGCCACATGAGCAAACAGCTTGTCAAGTGATCTGAGCTGAGTGTTTTCAGGGACCACATCAGAAAAGGCTGAACTGCGCCCCCTCAGCTGTTTTTCCTGCCAAGAGCTGAGGGAAATCAGACACAAAGTCACTCACTACAGAATGAGATGCCGGCACCACACATAATCACCACTGCTTTCCCAGCTCCCCACAGAGTGGCTGCCTGCTTCCGCTCTCCTACACACGTCTGGAAACCTCTTAGTCATGACGATCGCACCTTTATAGCAGAGCTATTCCTGAAAAGGAGGAACGAGGTGGCTGGCGCTCCCACTTTGACCGAGCATGAAATGCCTTTTCCACTGGTCCCTGGCCCCTCCACCCCTAGAGCAAGCACCTTGATTTTACTTGTAACTGAATCAGCATCTTGAAAAACAGGCTGCCAACTCAAGGAGTTCATTGAGATCTTTTTAATTACATTCCTGGCTTACTCCTCACTCACTCCCACATCCTCCCAGTTGAAGTGATAGCATCCAAACATCCTAGAAGCACCAGTGAGTGCTCTGGAGACCTGCAGTTCCAGGAGAAATCCAGCAAGAAACCTTTTCATGCAAGTAAAGAAAACTGGACAGTCTCAGGGCCCGCCAGGAAAGGTGCCACTGCAGCTCCCCAGGCTCTGACCACCCAGGGGAGGAGGGCCAGGGGGAACACGCAGAGGAGAGGGTGTCCCCACCCACCCATCTGTCAGGGAGACGGAGGAGGGAGGGCACGCGGTGTGGAGAAGGTGGCGGGGGGCTCCTGGCTTTGGATCCAGAGAACCTGGATCTGGAATGTGTCCCCGGCTTCAATGAGGTGTGTGTGGGTCAGGCTGTTAAGACGCCCCAGGAGCACCTTTTGCATTGTACACGGACAAAAACCTTTCCTTGAAATTACCCTCTGAGAAAAGCCCTCCTCTTCAAGGAGGCCCCACCCCCCACTCACCTCGCTGATGTAGAGGACCCCCCCATGATAATGTAGAGGCCCTCCCTGGCTCACCTCAATGATGTAAGGAGGCCCCATCCCCCCTCCCCCGCTCACCGAGATGATGTAGTGGCCCCGCCCCCACCAGCTCACCTCGATGATGTAAAGGCCCCGCTCCCCCTGCTCACCTCGATGATGTAGAGGACCACGTTTTTGTAGAAGCAGTACAGGATGCACTTGGTCACCCGGTTGTAGCTCCAGGCGCCATGAACCAGCAGGAGCTTCTCCAAGTAGGAAAACTGAAAAAGGAAAGAAACAGGATCCAGAGGGGCCCATCAGTCAGGAACCAGAGTCACAGAATGTCTCTCGGAGAAGAGGACAGGTAAGGTCATGGAGGAAACCAGATTCTGCACGTGACCTGAGAAAACCAGTCACCTCAGGAAAGCAAAGGCAGAGCCTTCAGACCAGGTGAGAATGACTGAAATCCCCTCTTAAATTTATTTTTTAAAACTTTTTTGGGGGGAGGGGGTAGCTAGGTTTATTTATTTTTCATTAGACATGCTGAAGACTGAACCCAGGACCTCGTGCATGCTCAGCATGCGCTCTACCACTGAGCTCTACCCTCCCCAGTCTTATCATTTTCCCCAATACGCAGCTGGAGTTTGAATGGCTATTCTTGTGAAACTCTAATTTATGCAAATGCTTTTTAAGGATCCTGATTATAAAGAGAAGGTGACAGATCAGAGCTGGAAGGAAAGTACAGTGGGAATCAGAGGCTACTATTCAATCACAGATTTCGCGGTGACAACAGCATCAAGGGAGGGGGACACTCGCGCACCAGGGGTGCACATAAACATGCCACCTGTTCCCACTGGCAGCCTGCAGGTTAAAAGCGACACCCGCAGAGATGCAGAGAAGCAGACACACAGACACACACTCTGCCTGCCACTTCCACGCCCATTCCTTCCCACTTCTTGGCCAGCAACAAGAGCAGAGCCCCTCTCGCTGGAGGGCCGTGCAGCCGCCCATCAGAACAAAGCCCCAGCATGCAGCTGATGCTGCTCTGAGAGTGACGTGACCGCTGGGCTCTTGCGGTCTGAGATACTCAGCAGTATTCCAACAAAAGACTTGGATCGTCCTGGGGGCAGGGGGTCTTTGGACACCACTCCAACCACATCTCCTCGCCCTCCCCTTAGCTTGGCCTTGCTGTCTGTGCCCTGTTTCATCAGGGTCCTCAAGAGCGTGAGCACGGAGCCGGAGGGAGGGAGGTGAGCTGTGCTGCGTTGTGGCCCAGCCTGTGTGCGCTCTGGCGAGACTGCACTGCGAGGGGCAACGCGGTTTCAATTCACAGTTCCTGTGCACTCAGTCAACCTCGCTTGGCGCCGAGTCCCCACGCTTGGTTGCCCTGAACTTGGACTTGACCTCCCATTCCAAGTCGCGGGGCGGTCCGCCAACTCAAATTACATTAGCCTCCCAGGAGAGGGAAGTCGGCTGTGTTGAGAACGTCCACAGGTACTAGGCATTCTTCGCTATTGTAAACTTCCTGTTAATTTCATATGACTTTTGAAATTATATTTAACTCTCTGTGGGAAGGAAAGACTGGCTGAGTATATAGTATTTTTCTTAATTTTTTTTTCCTAGAGGAAGCCACATACTCGTTTCCATCAGCCCTCAGGAGGGGCGGCTCAATCCGACATGAAACACATCTCAGCGAGGTCTTGCAGATCAGGGACAGGCAGACGGCCCGTCGACGGACTCCAAAAGCTGAATGAGACTTCAGGACGGCAGGAGTGGGTGCATATGGAAAAATAAACTCCCCATAAAGGCTCATCAAGGATTCCAAAGGGGGCTGGGGAATCATAAAATAACCAGCTCAACAAACAGAAAGGAAGTCTGTGTTTGACCCGGTCCCCCGGCGCTGGACCTCAGTGGGCACGGGAACATCTGCTGGAACCATCTGGAAGGCCCTGCCTGGGCGCTGTAGCAGTTGCCTTCAGAAAAAAAAATATCCTAAATCAAAACGCTCTTTCCATGAGGTCATTCAGAAGACTTGCAGAAGGTCGGGGGCAGGAGTGACTCTCCCGGGGAGACAGGCAGCTGAGGGCTGGGGGCCCCACACCCCACGGGAAGGCCGTCAGTCCCAGGGGCTGTCCCTGCAGACAAAAGCCTGGGCAGCCGGGAAGACGTGGAACCAGAGCTCGGCCTCCTTCACCATCTCCCCAAGGACCGGTCTTTGAGCTCACTTTTTTCCTGCTGTAGGTAACTCTCTCGGGCACTTTCTCCAAAACTCGATCAATAACATTTTCACCCACATGAAAAGCAGCAGATAAAGCCCAGGGAGCCCCTTCAACTGAAGGCATTCCTCATTTCATCAGGGGCAAAGGAACTCCTCTAACGGTGGCACTTCCTGCCTCGTAATGAAGGCAGAGGGTGGAGGGCCCCGAAACCACGGGCCGCCACCGAACCAGGAACAGGACGGTGGACGGGAGGGACAGCAGCCCAGGGCCATTCATCAGTTCCTGGGGCTGGACCGGCAAAACAGCCCCTTGGACAGTTAGGAAGCCCTGGTCTCCTCTCCGCTCTTCCTGGATTTTGATTTGCTTCTAATTTTGATTTACCTTTGATTTGAAGGGAGCAATTGCTCAGATCCCACATCCTGTTGGTACCTTTTCAATAAAGCAGGTCGTAGAGCCTCCCCTCCCTAGACATTTTAAAAGAAAAAGACAGACAAATATTTGCGTGGAACTCCTAGGAAACCTCCCATGATCCTGTCCAGCACATGGGGCTGTAACTCAAGTATGTAATAACGCTGGGTGTGTAACATCTCCAGTTGCTGACAGCCTGCAGGAAGGGTGAGTCCCACGGGCCTCCAGGCAGTTGACTGGGGAAAGTATACGGGCAGGTGTACAGGGCTGGGCCCCAGGGTCACAGGCAGGTCTGCTGTTCTCTGACCCTGGGAGCTGGGACCTGCAGCAGGTCACCTATTGTGAAGGAGCCCCAGCTTCCCCACCTGTACACTCAGAATTCCTTCTCCTACCTGCGTTAGCCATCATCTTGAGGGTTTACTTGAAATCAAGAAAGGAACAGGATTGATTTCATGCACTTTCTGGAGCCAAGAGGATTCTGTAGTTCCTCCTGTGTTTGGAGAACTGAGAGCTGGGAGGGAATTTGAGATGTGATCTTGGGCAGAGCCCTCTGGGAGATGGGGCCCCAGAGCCACAGAGGACCAGCCCGTGGCCCTGGGCTTGCTGCAAGCTCTTCCACGTTTTCTATATAGCCCCCGATTCCAGCTTGAAGGAGGGGAAAGCCATTATTCCTTGTGCACATGTGATTAAGGTTAACACATTCTTCAAAAGACCAAACTCTGGCGGAACAAGGGGGAACCCTAGCTACCTAGCAAACAGCGGGCACTTAATCCTAGCGCGCTGCAATCAGAGACAGGAGGCAACGGTCCGTGTTCTCTGTGATGTCTAGATTTTCTGGAGGGTTGAGTGCCATAAATGGTCTAGATATGTACCCTGAGGGGCAGGCGGTTGGTGACTTTCTTTCACTTTGGGGCTGTCAGCGAGGAGTAGACATTTCTCTCGTCCTCAGGTCAACAGAACAGGATCTATGACGGATGTCAGGAGCCTATGCTGCAAAGTACCATCCAGAGAGGAGCAGGCTGGGCGTGGCTGAAGTGCCAGAGGCTGCTGACTGCAGGGGGACCACCCCCAAATCCAGGGCTCATGCCCCTAGAGTTCACCTGACAGCAGTGGTCTTGGCAGTCCCAGGCGACAGCTGTAAATTGCTGATGCCCCTGACTTTAAATCCCTAATGGGAGAGGGTGCCAGCACCTTCTGGAGGAGCAGAGGAGGTACCGGGATAGCGGAGGCTGAGAACGGATGCTATGGGCACAGCCGTCCCCGGGCACAGGATGGCACAGGAAAAGCACGTGCAGCAGAGGCAGATCTGAGCGTAAGAGGTTATCATCATAGGACCAGAGCCCCATGTGTCAGGAATGACAAAGCTCAGCCAACCCCACAGCCGGCAAAAGAAACTCAAGCGGCAGGACGGGGCCTCGTCACTGCGCAAGATCAAGACTGCAGAGAAACCCAAGCACCCTGGTGGTTTCTCTGACATGCAGCCTCCGGAGGGATGTCAGAGTCCAGGGGCCGGACTGCAAGTCAAACACTAGCCAGGCCTTTCCCGCCCAGCAGATCCTGTCTACCAGATGGGATGGCAGTCGGCCACGCGGCTGACCTGTGCGATGGCGTAGTCCGAGTTGTTGGTGGCCTGCATGCCCTCGTTCCCGCTGATCCCCACCCCCACGTGGGCTGTCTGGATCATCCCGACGTCGTTGGCCCCGTCCCCAATGGCCAGCGTGATGGCCTTCACCCGCTTCTTCACCACGTCCACTATCTCCGACTTCTGCAGCGGAGAGACCCTGTAGGGGAGAAGGAGAAATTACGGCTCTCTGCGTCTTTCCAGGGGAGACAGCTGTGATCTACATTTAGCTGCATTAAAAGGGCAGTTCCTGGACACTTTCCAAATTCAATACATACGTTTTACGTTCCTGTGCAAAGCAGCTTTCAAAAAACAGTAGCCCGTGGCTTTCAAGTGTTTGCCAGCTTCGCAGATGAAATACACAAGTCAAGACTAACGGAAAACACAAGCCCATTTGTAAATCACTCTGCGCGGCGGGAGCTGGGCATGCAAACTCCTCGGGGGCGCGTGTGCCCTCCTGAATGACAAAGGCAGTGAGGCTGGCGGCCGAGGTCTTAGGGTATAAGTTCTCAATAAATCAGAAATCCAGCACAGACCTCATTTTTGCTTCGTCGTGCATCATACCTAACCCCAGGGCTGGCGAGGGAGTTTCCTACAAAACCTGCCTTCAGAGAAGGGAGACTGTCAGCTGGGCCGGGGAAGTGCAGAAAGAGGACCAGTGTGAGAGGAGAGGAGGAAACCGCATCACATCCACCCCGAGGTGGAGACCGCATTTGAAGGGCGGCCAGGCAGGAGGATTTAAGGAGAGTCCCAGGGCAGCGGGTTGACTTAACCTGAGCTGTGCAGAAGGAGAAGGAGAGGCAGCCTGTGCCTAGGAGGGCTGGTTTCCACAGGGAGTCAAAAGAAGGTGGGTATTTTCCATAAGCCTTCAGGCCGTCGGGGAAGAAGAGCCAACATAAATCTCTGGGGTCTAAAGCACAGCAATATTTTAAAAAATGCTAAACTGTTACACAATCATTAAAAAAATAAAAAAGCCAGCAACACTAATTATGAAGATGTGTTTGTTCAGAGTATGAGACTGGGTTCATTGTCAAACTGCTGATCAGGACTGATCTAGCCTAAATTTTAAACAAGGAAGCCCGTAACTGGTTTGTGAAGTTTACAGGTAAATCCCTGAATCACTCGCGCGCACACGTGCACGCACACACACACACCCCCCAGAGCAAGAGACCCTTCTGGGTTTCCCGGAGATACTCCACTGCACCCATGTGGGGGCTGCACGTGTAACCTGGGAGGGACACTCAAGGACTTTCTCCACAGAACCTCTCATATGAGCTCCAAACCAGAAAAATGCATTTTCCAGCAGAAGACTTAAATTTGACCAAGCCTGGAAGAAAGTGTTTGGTGAGACGTAAGCTGAATTGAAGCACAAGTGTTACAAAGACATGACAATGGGCAAGCCGGGAAAACAGAACGGAAGGGCTGAAGCGGCTGTGGGAGCCACGCCGGGTGACCTACTGCCTCTCCTGTCATTTTCACAGGGATTTTCAGTGATGGGGATTTACTGCTTCCTTGGGGCAGCTGCAACTGCTGAAAACTGGGAGTATGTTTTTGGTTACTGATAAGCACAGTTGAAAGTACGAATTATGTCCTCTGGGTCAGAAGAGAACCAGCGGAACTCTTCTCCCAGATCTTAACAAGGCTGACGTACGAGGACACGCATCACCCCCTTCCCCTAAGCCCGGGGTCTGGGGCTCGGTCAGGTCTTCTGCCCTAGTCATTTAATCGGCGAGCTGCAGAATTTAAAAACAGCTTCCAAGGAGGATCTTCTAGACAGCTGAGAGCAGAATCAGACAGATCACCATCTCCCTGGCAGCACATGCTAGACTTACTTTAACGTAGCCTAAAAGGAAATTACTGGAAGCACTACTGTCAGGTATCAGTGAGCTTTCATTCAACCACATGCTAGCAATTAAGCAGTTTTAATGTACAGGGATATAAACTGTATCTGTTCCCTCCAAGTCCATGTGACTGCTACTTGGATCCAAGGGGCTGATCCTAACATCCCTCTTTCTCATTAAATTTCTTATTGGCAGACACAGCCCATAATTCTAATTTGCTACACAAATGTGATTTCCCGTTTCATTTTTGAACTCAATAGAAGCAGAGATCACAGTATAGAGAAAACGATGGAGAATTCAAATGTAAAGGGCTGAGCGTAACCTTTTCCTGGGCCCTCGACTAACAACTTAAACAGGGAAACCATTCTGTGAGTCCTTGTCTGTCATCAATGAAATGGGGAAAGTGATAACCACTCACCTCATGAGATGGTTGTGATATGTTTATGTGAAAACGTATGTTAACAAGCAGATGTGAAACAAATGTGATCTCCTATCTCGCCTGAAAACCTCCACTGGTTGGAAAGAAAATTGGACAGTCCTGAGAACTGCGCGCTGACCCATGGTTCCCAGACTGTGTGCGTGGCCCTGGGGTACCACAGTGGGAAATGACAAACACTCAAGGGAAACACGCAGTGTCTCTCAGGTGGTGCAAAACACTGGCCGGAAGTAGCTCACAGTTTCAGCATTAGATCACACGACACTCCTTGCGATGATCTACTGCAAGATCTAACTTTGTGAAGCTGAGTTTTCATGGCTACTAGGATTAAATGCAAATGCCTTGGGAAAGGTCAGCATGGAACAGGAAGTGAGGGAGGCAGCATCTGGTCTCAGGCCAAGGCCGAGAAGATGAACAGTGCTCTACAGGTGTACCACAATGTAGCTTGGCAATGATTATGGGCGCTTCAGGATGAAAGAAATGAAGGAACTTCTCTCCATTTATGTGCATTATTGTTTCAAAAATCTGCTAAGTGGTTAGGACATAATACTTGAAACTGTTTGACTTTACCTACTCAATAGAAACTCTTCAATTTTCTCCTAATCTAGGGGCTTTACAAAGGAATTAGTAGGACAGTAAGGAACCGTGAACGCATTAATCATTTCTCTCCACAATCAAATTAATCACTCTTCAAGGACCATCATTCACCCACTGGAGTGGTACTCCACCCAACAGTGCCATCATTTCATCTCCAACTCTTCTTCTGCATCCACAAAGATTCACAAGGGAGTATGAACAGACACGCCAGCAGCACTGGGCCGGCCTGAGGCTGCAGCTCCTTGAGGTTCTATGTGCCACCCAGATGACCAAGCAAAGTGACCTGACAAGTGCTGGAGAGAAGGGAGCCTGTGGGGCAGATGCTCAGCCACGTGAACATGGTGCCGTGGGAGGTTAAAGCATTGAGGTGGTGGAACAGGGAAGTTGCTGGGCAAATCTGAGTTTGAGGCTCTTGCTTTTCTTTTAGGGGGTTTAGCAGGTAGTCAGCCAACATGAGACAGTAGCCGGTCAAATACATTCAACTGCATTTGCCTCTCTGAGATCTGGGTCTCAAGTAGGTCAAGTCGTGATTCTTACTCCCCTCCCCAACATTTCAGGGTTCTCATGTCCTCTTTCATATCTTCATGTTTGTTCTTTTGCTGTTCATTGTATTTATCATCACAGTTCCTTGTGATTTTCTCTTTTCTATGGATTCTTACTTCTTTTCTGTTTATAGAAGGTCTTTCAATATTTCTTTTAGGATAGGGTTAATATTGCTGTATTCTTTCAATTTTTGCTTGTCTGAGAAATTTCCTCTCTCTCCTATTTTAAATGACAATCTTGCTGGGTCGAGTATCCTAGGTTGCACTTTTTTCTCTTTCAGGACTTAGACTGTATCTTGACACTCCCTTCGGGACTGCAACGTTTCTGTAGAGAAATGAGCTGGTCTCATGGGGGTTCCCTTGTAACTAACTCTTAACTTTTCTCTTGCTGCCTTTATAATCTTCTCTTTATCTTTTGCCATTTTCATTATGCCTTGGCATAGGTCTGAAGTCATGATTCTAATGCTTAAAGTAAAATCTATGAAAGTTCAACAGCTGCATTTCCCCAAAAGCAAAAATGGAGAGAAAACCTGGCTGCAGTATATAAACCAAGTCATATCCCAGTGATTTGGAAGCATGAAACGCTCATCCAGGATTTATTATGCCCTCAGCTGTAATGCCTTGAGAAAACATAATTCTAACATACACCAGGGGTTCAAAATAGATGTCAAACAGCTAATTTCTACAGAACTGAATAGGCATCACTACACTTCAGCCATATGTAGGATTTTAGTAGGCCAAGTCATCATGGAGTCATCATTTAGTAGGCCAAAGTTAGCTCTTTTTAAATCTTAATTTGTGACCTGGAATCACATGCCACACTTAAGTATTCCCAGCATATAATAGATTCAACCTGTATAGTAAGAATTCCAGACTATATTGGAGCCAAGCTAGGAGCTGGGTCACTTGCATAACCTATGCTGGTGCATTATGAATAAAAACATAAACTCAAAGATCTTTAATTAACTGGAGAGCTATTCTACCCACATTTTGGGGCTAATATAATAGATTCTAAAATAAAAATCAAATCTTCCTTTTGGTTTAAAAATATTCAGTATCCTGGAGTACCTCATTTTATGGGATATGCATTCCTGAAATTCTAAAACTCACTTTCTACAGTTACGACACTTAAGTAAAACCTTTGGTAACTACTTTCCTAAGGTTAATAACCACACATTAATTTATTTCATTTACGAAAGCTCTGGTCTCAGAGTGAGTTTCTAAATTCCAATTTGCAGCATCATCTGAGCAAACAAAACCAAATCCCTTCCCTTCTCAGAGCTCGGCAGCCCTACTTGTCAAAGAGGGGCTGGGTCTCCAGGATGGATTTGTAAACTGAGCTCAGCTGAGCCGGAGGGAGTAACATGGTAACAATATTTCCACTAGTTGAACACCTAAATTTCTCTATTCCATCTGGACAGTCCTCATGATTAAGAAGGAGGCCTGAAGACCACCGGTGGAGATCACTGAGTCTCAGTGTTCATGTGAGCTTCAAAATCACCTAGAAAGCTTGCGAAAATACAGATTCTGATTCGGGAAGTCTGGGGTGGGACCTGAGAACATGAATTTTGACAAGCTCATGGCAATGTGGATGCTGCTTGTCCATGGACCACACTGAAGCAGCTGGCACTAGTCTGGACAAGGTAACAAGTTCTCTCTCTTTTACAAACATACATACATATTTTTAAATTGAAATATAGTCAGTTTACAATGTTGAGTCAATTTCTGGTGTACAGCATAATGC